TCTCGCAGCTCTGAATGTCACCTTTGCCTTTAAACAGAGGGACCAAGAGACTCTCCCTCCACTCATCAGGCATCCTTGCTGTCCGGAGGATAACATTGAAGAGTTTGGTTAACCAAACCCACGCACCACGACCCGCATGCTTCCAAAACTCCACCGGAATCTCATCTGGTCCCAAAGCTCTCCCACTACGCATCCCGCGCAGAGCCCGAACCACCTCTTCCAGGCAAATGCGCCGGCAATACACACGAGACGCCCCGGGCTGTCCCAACTCATCTAGAACTAGCCTCTGGTCTCCTCCCGCATTTAAGAGTTCACTAGAGTACTCCCCCCAGCGCTTAGCCACCTTGGCAGTCTCAACTAACACTCTACCATCGCTGCCCTTCACGCACCTCACGCGATCCAGATCTCGGGCCTTCCTCTCACGCACCTTAGCAAGCCGGAACAGTGGATTAACACTGCCTCTCTCCTCAATATCCTTGTAGAGGCGTTCAAAAGCGGCATTCTTTGCCCTTGTTACCTCTAACTTAGCTTCTATGCGTGCTTTCTTGTACTCAACTCGTAACGCCGCTCTTTCCTCCTCTACATTGCAGCCCATGTACCTCAAATACGCCGCCTTCTTAGCTTCCACTTTACTTCGGACTGAATCGCTCCACCACCAATCACCCTGACGCCTACTCCCAGAGCCAGAGCTCACACCTAACACTTCCCTGACTGTTTCCCTGATGCAGTTAGCGGTCCGCATCCACATATCAGTGGCCTCTCCGGTCGATTCCCACGCACCTCTCTCCTGCACTCGCCTGGTCAACTCAGCAATATTCTCCGCACTTAGTCTCCTCCACCGGATTTGTGTGTTTCCACTCGAAGCTCTCCTATGTTTCTCCCACCTGATCATAACATCCATCACGAGAAGCTTGTGTTGGGTAGTGACGTTTTCACTCGGAATTACTTTAGCATCCTTGCAGAGCACCCGATCACACCTGCGCAGGAGAAGATAGTCGATCTGTGTCGTCCCCACTCCACTAACAAATGTAGCCAAATGGTCGTCTCGTTTAGGGAAACAAGAGTTAGCAACCACCATATCGCTCGCTTTGGCAAACTCCAAGAGTGAAACTCCCGCTGGGTTCCTGCTGCCAAAGCCAAAACCACCGTGCACGTCCTCGAAGCCATCGGCCAACTCTCCAATATGGCCATTGAAGTCGCCTCCAATGACGACTTTCTCAGTCAGTGGAAAACCAACAACCACCCCATCCAAGGCGTCCCAAAACTCCCTCTTTACTTCGTCTGCCAGGCCAACATGCGGAGCGTAAGCACTCACGACATTGATTGCACACCCACCCAAAACCAACTTGATAAACATCAGACGATCGCTAATCCTCTTAACCTCCACCACAAACTCCCGCAGCTCCGGCGCCACTAGAATGCCGACTCCATTCTTTCCCCTAGCTGAACCTGAATACCACAGTTTGAAACCATCAACCTCTCGCGCCTTAGTGCCCACCCACCTGGTTTCTTGCACACATGCCACTTGAATCCTTCTCCTCTTGAGAACTTGCACCAACTCAATAGACTACCTGTGAGGGTCCCCATGTTCCATGAGCCGAAACGCACATGTGACACTACACTACCCCTCTGCGACCCTCCTACCCCCGTACCCCCTACCCTCGTCCCAACCCCAGGATATGCCCTTATAGCTACATTGCTAACCCACGCGACTACACCTACACAGCAACACCAAAAAACAAAGTAGAGACGAAGCTACTAACACAAAAACAATAGGATACAAACCACTACTAAAGAAGATAAGAGCAACAATGCAAATAACAGTAACAGTGTACGGTAGTAGCACAGATAGTCAGCAATCAAAGCAACACCTTAACACACACAGTAGAGCAATAACACAAATAGTCAGCATTTGCCAACATTAGAACTTAATTTCAACTTGCACATTTTTGGTGCTGTGGGATTTGCCTTATTTGTTTTTTGCTTATGTATACTTCATTTGTCCCACAAATGCTTCTTTGCTTGATTTGTACTCCGTATGTATTATTGTTTAAGAAAAATATATAAAATGAAAAGTATGTTTGTGAGAATTGTTAGGAAGAGTTAAATATTGTGACTCATATTCGTTTTCGTAAAGAAGAAATTGGAGAAATTTTAAAGTGTATTTTTTATATAGACAAGAAAAGAAATAATTACGGAGTAAAGTTTTTGAAACACGGGAATATAATTTTTTTTAACGTGAAAATAATAAGTCAAACATTTCCTTTAATTAAAAGAATTTCTAGTAAAATGAATATTGAGACTCATGGGCTGGTTGGAGATGCCAAAAGGATGGGCACCCAAGTGGGCACAGGGAATGTCGCGGTACAATCAGAAGTCCCTATTTGTAATTTTGCGAAACTGTTTTAATAATGCTCTTTTGTTCTTCAACAAAAATATTCTTGTGGAGAAATTATTACAGTAGTATTTTTTCTGGTACAAAGAGGAATCATTAGTTTAAGAAATTTAGAACATGGGAAAATATCTAGGAGTAGTATGAGTAAGTTTCATGGTAAAAGACAACACCAAGGTTCAATGTCACTTGAACCTTCCCCAAAAGACAAATAGAAAAGAACAACCAAATTTAGTCCGTCAGGATAGATACATGAAATTAACTACATGCAACCGCCATTCATTTTAATTTTTTTTTGTCGTTTCCAATCTCCTATTGCGAATGATTTTGTTTTTCCAAACATGTTTTTATTGCCTCAAAACTAACCTTAACCTATTCCCCACCTCATCTTTCCAAACATGGATTGCATTTTGGTGTACCTAATGAAGAGGAGGTGTGTTAAAGGTACTCCAAACTTTGTACCCCAATTCGTATATTAGTATATCATAGACATATAGACAATCATTGTCTGTGCATGCACAAAGAGTACTTGTTTGTGTGTGTTTGTGATCCACTTATATGCAAATTGGGGTATAAAGTTTGGCGTATTCTTACATGAGCAATTCAGTGTTGGGAGGATAGAGCGCATTCTCACATAAGTAATTGAATTGTAGACGATTATTCATAACTTTTACTTTTCTCATCCTTAAATTTTCTTTCAACTTTCCCCTCGCGTATGTCTTAAATTACTCTTTTCATTTCCTCAAGGGGAGAGGGCCAAGTCGTGGGATGGACTGTATTAATCAGGAGATTCTTTTAGTATTGGTCGCCTCACCCAGTGGCCTTGGGCCTTTCTCATGGTGAAATCTCCTTTTTTCTCCTTCTTCACGGAAAACTCCCCCCAAAGGAGCAATTCAAGGGCCTTTTTGTTAGAGCTGGCATCCTCTGGCTAGCTTGTCAGTGGATTCCTTTCAGAGGTTGCCCTATGGGAAGGCTGCCTAAAGTATGATGATGATGAGGGCTTAATTTTCCTCCCTAGGAACGTTCATTTTATTTTCTCACTCGGAAACAAAGTTCTTGAGCCTTTCCCTTGTTGGAAACTTCAAACTAGGGAGGTGAGACTTGATTGTGAGAGTTAGGGAGCTTCTAATGACGACTTCCCTCAAAGTTCTTTAAGAACCTCTTAGTGAGGTTGTCTCAATCGTCTACATGGAACCCTTAGGAAGTTTATTGAACCATTATATATTATCTCTTCGGAAGTGTCAAGCATGGTCAACCATCGTGGCGTGAAAACGGGGCAAGTGGCTTTGCGAGTTCGTCATCCCATTATATGCCTTAATCTGCAGGGATCAGAACTTTTATGGTGGGGTATGAACGGGGTGATTGTGTGGAACACCTGCTACCCTAGTTTCCCTTTGCGTATATCATACGTTGTAGCTCTTCCACCATGTTAGTACCTAGGTGTTGCCTAATCTTTTGACAAAATCATAATCTATATTTGTTGGGAGTTTAATTACCACGTAGAAGCTTCTATTTGTTAGGAGAAGTTTTTTATTTTTGTTTTTTAAAGTTGCTACATTTTCAAGGGTGACACAGAAGATGCTACAACACACTGTGATTGGATCAGCAAGGCATGTCCGAGAATTCAAGCTCCGATTTGTAATATTTGGAATTAGAATCCTATTGGGAGTTGCAATTACCTCTTGGGATTTATCCTTTAGTGGCCAACTGTGTTAAGGAGTCCTAATCCAATTTCTTGGAGATAAACACTAAAGAAGTTGCATTCAAGACAACTTCTAATTGCCTGTTTCTACTAGGATTAGAGTTTGAAGAAACCAATATATACGCAGCTAATCCAATGGATTTCTTGGAGCGATTGTGAGGGAAAAACACAAAATATCTTCTGATATAAGAGTGTCCCGATGCGTCCGAGAGCTTTTAATCGCGAAGGGCCATCGCGTGCACAACCTTCATTGGGCTTCAAGCATGAAGGTCGTCCCCTAGGATAGTTGCCTGGGCAATGCGAGGATGTTGGTTGAGAGGAGATAGTAGGCACGTCTAGTGAAGGGTGACCAGAAATAAAAGCACAACTTTATATGAAAAAGAGCACAACTTGGTTCAAAAATAAAATGCATACAAATTTAAAAGATCATAAATGAAAAGAATAAATGACAACTAGTCCACATTTAAAGAAATAATTATTCTTTTAGTTAATGAGTTTGTTTTTTAGATCCGTGACAATCAGTTATAAGGTTTTGTATTCTGGTTCTGTCTGTTTTAAATCGATTTAAGTGTAGTTTCACATGGGGAAAAAACTTGTTTAAAAATACAACAAACAATTTAGTACCATTATGATATATTTTTTGAAACAAGTACCATTAAGATATGATATGGTACCAAGCTAATTTGATTTATTTGCCCAGTCGTAATTACTAATTCCAGATTATGAAGTGCTTTGTTTTTTTAGAGGAAGTTTATGTGCATTTAAAGTTAAGGCCAATTAGCGCCAGTACCCCCGTGGTTTGCAAAATAGGCATCAATACCACCTCCCCTATTTTCAAAACTTATATTTAATGTTATTGTGGTTTCAAAACGTTGCACTCGTGCTCCCTCTAATCATTTTCCAGCCATTTTTTCGGCGAAGAAATGAGCATTGGTGCATATTTTCTAAACCATAGGGGTAATAGTGCAGTTTTTTTTATTTCTCGCTTATTTTTTGTTTTTTCCATTTTTATCCTTTATTTGTTTCATTTATAATGCATATGTACGTCTCAAATTAAGAATTTTTGTTTTTTCGAAAAAAACCAAACTTTTTTTGAGAACTCCAAAAAACTGAGGAATAAAATAAGAAACAAAATAATAAAAAAATAAAAATGAATGTCCTTTTTGGACATCTCAATTCTAAGGGCTTTTTAGGCGTGTTCGAAAATTGTTTTTGTATAAGTCTCTTTTTTGCGCATTTTAATTTTTTCATTTCGTTTTTCCATTTTTTTATTTTTTTATTCTGGTTTTCTTTTTGAACTTTCCAAAAAATTATTCTAAGTAACAAGAAGTGAAAATGTTTAAATTGAGATAGATCTAATGTATGTTAACTTTTTTTATTTTTATTTTTATTTCAAACACAAAGAGTTTTAAACTTTTTTAATACATTATAAAAATTGAAAGGAAATTTATTAAAAAAATTCAACGAAAATGAGAAAGAGATAGAAAATATTTTTAGTAAAAAGAAAAACACAAATAATAAATGTAAAATAAGAAATGAGCATGAGTGCCCCTGTGGTTTAAAAATTATGCGCCAATGCCCCCACTTCGTCGGAAAATGATCAGAAATGGTGTGGGTGCAACGTTTTGAAACCACAGGAACTTTAGAAATAAGTTATGAAAACAGATGAGGTATTGGTACCAATTTTCCAAATCACGGGAGGCACCGGAGCTATTTGGCCTTAAAATTAATGTCGGAGGGACTTCCTGAATGGGGCTCTTTTTTTATATACTACGTATAAACTAATGTCAAAGACAAGAGCGTGTCTATGAAAGACGACGTCCGTGTATTGAAGAAAATCATAGCAAAGTTGGACAATCTAACATTATCATCATGATTCATACTCGTATAAGCCAAATGATTGCTTTCATCATTTTTGTAGGCACTAATTGATGATGACAATTGACAAACCGAAAATGCTAGGGGTTCCATTTGTCCTTCACCCCTCCATTACCACTTAAATAGACAAGAAATTTAAAAAAAATAAAATAAATAAAAATAAAAAATAAATGAATGGTTATGGAGGGGGTGGTGTACAAATGGAGTCCACCTTTTGGTGTACCCCTAGCATCTCCCATGACAAACACATTAAAGAAGGGATGCATTTAAAAATATAAAAAAGTCAGGAGTCTCAATTTGTACCTCAACTTATATGCTAAGGGCAAATATGGACACACTTATATGTTGTGTTTATCTTTGAGGTGCATATTGTGGTACAAATTGAAATGTCTCTAACATGAACTAAAAGTATTCAAGTCACAACTTTTATTTTTTTCATTTTAAAATTTTCATGGTTTGTTTTGTTTGTTTTATTTTTACATACTTCATTGGTCTCAAGAACATCTTTACAGTTTGACTATTTTAGTCAATCTGATACGTACTTTGACCATGAATAAATGTTATTAAAATTTGATATTTCTTCCAATTCTAAAAACCTTTCTTACAGTAATACTTTTTAACTATAAATTACACATAATCTTAATAAATAAATGATATAAAAATTCAATATATTAAAACTATATCCTAAGATGAACCCAATTATATTGAATTTA